AATAGATATGCACACACACACACACACACACACACACACACACTATCCACAGGTTTGAATGCGTGCACTGAAGCGTAACACGAGCAGTGAGGTGAAACGGATTGAACCGGATGTGCCCACGAAAATAAGATTGGTGATAACCACGATGCAAGCCTTCGGCATCTCCAAATTTATTTTCTCATGCGTCTTATGCCATTGGACCTACTGCTCTCCCGTTATCTTTCCCGGTCTACTGTCTAAGGATTTCATATTAATTAGACGCTCTCTGAAAAGCATCTCTAGATATGGAGCTGTATTTATGAGGAGCTGATTGATTCCATCGTCAACCAACACCTGAATGTGTGTGACCGTCTGCGTGACTCCATCTTGTCTGATGCTTCACATCCCTTACACACAGCCCTATCTAGCTCCATTTCAACTTCTGTAACCTGCAATAAATTTAAACCTTTATATACTCGTAACACTGCTTTTCACAACTCCGTTGTACCTTACCTTTCACATTTGTTGGTTTCTAGGGAGCGAATATCAAACGAACTCATACACAGTCTGATGTAAATTTCCACGTTGACATTTTCCTTATTTGTTTACGCGTTCTCGGTGTCCGATTCATTATCATCTCAGTAACTATTTGTCATGTCTTAAAGCTCATTTTTATTAGCGTGCAATACCAAAGCAAAAACGATAACATTCTTGTCACTGAAAATTCTGTCCACATTGGATGAATATAGTGCACTCTTGACTTGACTTGATCGGAATGCAGTGAGATAAGTGAATTCCGTCGGACTACCTTCTCTGCAGGATTCTTCTAATCATCATCTAATCATCATTGGTTTCACACTGTTGCACACTGGTTTCTCCTTTTTTATTGGCCGCAATTCACCTGGGCAGAGTGTATCAACGAAACGGTCAAACGCTTACCTACCGAGATAAACTTAGCTCCACTGATTAAAAAAAATGCACAGTTATTCGAAATAAGAAGAAATAATCTAAAAAATGCAAGTTGGACATTTTTGAGTTAAATACAGGTCCGGGATACAAGCGTATAATTGACCTGATCAAACAGGCGAGCTGTGCTGACTTACTGAGTAGCAAAAACCACAAAAACACTCGTGTGCCTCCTCGGCGTATATCTAATTTTCCAAAATTTCTTGGTTACTGTTCTGCAAATTACCATGTTTTTGTTTTTCTCATGTTTTCTTTAGAAGAATAAATCTGATCGAAATTTGAGGCCTGTTCGGGGGTAGCTGAATAAATTTTGCACCATGGTTTTCTACTTTACCATTAACAGAATCTCCCCCAAATGCTTATCCCATTTGTTCAATCCAAGTGATTTCGCGTAATTCGACCGGAGGTCTTCGATATTCATTTTTCATTTTTCGTAAACTTTACCGATGAGAAAGTAGTTGAGATAAATATTGAAAAGCGGATAATTATCGAAGCAATATGAACTTTTCGGAAGATATTGATTTCTTCGATTAGATGCCACAAATATTTTGAGACACGATTTTCCCTAGTTTCTGTTTATCCGTGCTAAATCAGCTGCTTCAGTACACAAACACGATCAGTATTTTATGCAACACTCAGAAAATTACAGTTCTTGTGGATTCTTGGAGTTCATATTGAAATATTCGGTTTATTGATACGAATCAGCTGATGAGGATGCCTGTTCATCTCCAACACTTATGTGATCACGAGTTAGGTACAAATTTCGTGGCATTTGACATACTTGACGGAGGGTTTTCCCTCCTGCTGGCAGTTGGCTTTTTAAGACCAGTAGCCATTTATTGCTCTAAACTTATAAATGGCATTTCATTTTTTGAGGTAAGTTTGTCCGATCCAAAGTTTCTAACTTCCTCAACCAGTTTACTTCTAAAACTGTCCAGAGGCCCTGAGTTTGAACCCCACTACCGCCGTCCACCTTGCCGATTATTTATACTTACCCAGACAAACTTTGTAGGACCGCGCCCCCCTTGCCGAACGCTTATTGTACATTCCTCTAAAAATAAACAAAAAGGGGGTGAACATATTTCTAAAACATTTATTATTATTATATAAGACACCAAAAGTTGGTTTTAGTAACCTTGGTACAAATAAATGTTGTTCCAGCAATTATGTGATTTCCCATTGCTGTCCACCAGACAACATGGGTATTGGAATTGGTCATTTTGGACAAACCTTTACCTTAGGATATATGGATGAGTAATCTCTGAAATAATCAGTCCTATCTAGCGACATCACTTTACTCCCACGAATTGAATAGGCTTTGTGATAACCTTGGATTATACTCATTCAACGATAGTTGCCATTCGCCTCTTTTCAGCGCTCCTTTTCTGTCATCCTTGAGACATACGATTTGGTCAGTGCAAAAGAAAAATATCTGATCGATCGGGCTGTTCATCGAGGAGTTCTTCGACCAATCCCCAACGGTCAGCCCCTACGCATGTTAACAAAACCGAACGATCGCGAGTGGCATCACGTGACAACAACTACACAATTCTCCGGCTACGTGTTCCGCATCCGACTAGTCTGTCAACCAGATCACTATAACAATACGTGTACTAAAATTTGCACCAAAAATCACACCCGATACACATGTGATGCGAATGGGGATAAGATTTGCGAACCGGGATGGAGTGGAACGGAATGTGACAAAGGTGAGCCACAGGTTCGAATCTACACAGCAGGATGGCTTTTTTTATTCATTTGTCTGTTAGATATTACAGTGCAAAACATTTACCAATGATGACTTGTGATTTTATACGGACTGAAGTTAATAAGCCGTTGTTCCGTAACTACAATGCAAAACTGCTGACAATAAGTAGGGCGTTGCTAATCAGGTTACATCATCCCATTCTGTGCGCCCAAAAGTTGTTCATTCAATCAGTTCACTTGCCGTGGAGTTGACCTGTTTTTAATTCTAATAGCCCCTGTCTAACTGTACATGTCCGTTCACTAGGATTTACAAATCCAATGTGCTATAAATGTGCTTGTTTGTTTTACGTCAGTGATTGAGAAGATTAACCGAAATGTTAACATCTCGAGATATATGCCTTTTTTCGGTCTTGATACGAAACAACCATGAATTTATGGTCGATTGTGACTGATACTCTTTCAAACACAAACTATTCAGTTCATGTAATTCAGTATACAGTCGGGGGTGGGGTAACAGACTCCAATGGTTGTCCTCATCAAGGGAGCACCAGCGTTTTAAAACCCAGGACTATTGGCATGGGTGTATGCATGTGTTTGGACTTGGTCTTCCATAGCAGTTCAACAGTACACAGACAGAGGAGGTCTTCCATCCGTGCTGGAATTCAGTTAATAAATTTAAAAAGAATTGTAGATGCATCTATCATCATCAAAGTAAAACAAAAGGAATAGATATTTGCTGCGATTCGGGCAAATTAAATTATGATTTGGTTTGTCAACACAATCTGAATTGAGGCTTTAAGTCATATGTTGTATATTATCCTATAAAATTTTTGAATAAACAGAGATTGCTTTTATGCATTGTAGATAATTCGCATTGCCAATCCTTATTTGACCTACATATAAAACAAAGCGGTGCAAGAATCGTCCTGAATTTTGCAATTTTGTGGCGGCAAAATGCGACTCGGATTTCAGTTCGCATTTTCTCACTATTTGAAGGACCCCTAAAATAAAAGAAGCCATTTCAGAGTCATATAATTAAGCTAATCTCTTGAGAAACTGGATTGTAGCATGTTGTTCAGTCACCCAGTTTTTCTGATTGATTGAGAAAATATTATTGTTAATCCTTGTCATTGAATTTAATCAATTGTTATAGTTTCAAATCCCCAAAGCTGAATGCAGTAAAAGAAATGAACTGCTTCATGGGTTCGGCCAGTGAAACACTTGGAACACAGCTTTCAGCATACGGTTTTGAGAAGAGATGAATCCTATTCGGAGAGGTTCGAGCCTTCCAAGTAGTCACCAAGACCACCGTGTGCACGTTAGAAATTTTTTGAATTTCTTTGTAACCGAAGTGTCGTGAAACATCAATCTGATACTAAATTCATGGAGACAATCAAATTAGAAAAAAACCAATAATAAAGATATTTGTTCACGATGTATTCCATGATGAAGCTTTTGTCAATCAGTTGGTGCAACAGACCGGCTCGATAGGAGACATGATTTCACTAGGTTGTAGCGCGACGTTTTTACATTGAACGACCAGTGACCAGCGACCCACATACGTAGGTCAAGGTAACTTGGCCCCATCACAACTGCTCGAACTGGTTTTGAATTTTCTGATGAGGCTGCAATCAGCTAGGTTAAGTTCTGACAGAGTATTAAAAATCGGTTCTCGTAGCTAGGCGGCTTGCTTGAAAACAAATTGTCAGGATCGGTGAACAGGTGAAATCGAATATGTTAATTGTCCCGGGTTCAAACAGCTCCACCGCCCCCCATCTTCCCTATATCTGTAATTCCCCAGGTAGCCTTTGTATGGCCACAGCCCCCTTCCTGAAAGTTGACTGCACATTTGTATATTCAATAAATAGAAAGAGAAAGTAAAAATACTTTTTTTCTCGCGGAAAACGATATTTATGCCCCGGAAGATCATAAAATCACAAACAACAACGTAGTTGTACAAGAGTGTTTCTATCGTTTCCCTGTACCATTATTGGACTATTAAAAAGCACTAGAAAATCAACAAAATTTTCCTCAGTCAACAAATTTTTTTCCCTATTCAGTGAAAAACTATTTCAAAACGTGAAAGGTCCACGCCAGCCGTTTGATCGTATTATGTATAAGCCACTGAGGAGGAGGGAGTGTGGCAACAGATTATCTAGATGATGGTTTAGAGTTCCCTACTGGAACTCATCAACACACAGACTGACTACTGAAATCTCCAGTTGTTCACAGGACTTCAGAGAATATCCTACTTCTTTCTCATTTATTGAATATAGAAACGTAACCTTAGTTTTCAGGAAGTGGACGGAGACAAAATACAAAAAGGGGGAAGATGAGCCGGGTCGGCAGGATTAGAACCCAGATCGCTGCCACTTGATAACCGCTTCCTAGACAAACATTTGATCAAATAGCCCGACAGATTTGTATAGGAATGGATTAAAAGTAATTAATTTATCCATTGTGCTTCCAAAATTAGTGTCAAAACAGCCGCTTATACGGACGGGGAACACAAGGAGAGGACAAATCGTATCAAAGCACTAGGCTCATTGAGTGAAAGGTTGTACAAATATAATAATTATCACTCAACAATGATTATGGTTGCTTCCGGGACCTGATTTACCTCAAAATCTAAGTGAGAAGATTTTCTACATAGCCATCTGATGTGGCAGATCCCTAGGCTTAATCCCATCAGAGGTATTGCTTACGAACGAGGCTGATTTCACATTTATCGAGGCTCATTATTTACGGAATTGTTTGTCCTTTCCCCAGATTTTATCGACTGAATACTCCCTTGCCCCTCTTCTTTTCACTAGCCGTTTGCAAAGTTGGATGCCACCCGGTGCATGGAAGTTGTACTCGACCGGGGGATTGCATGTGAGTCGATACATTCTTATTCCATTCTGAATGAACATGTACACTTGGAGCTAATCGATGTATGTTATCCAACTGTAGCCTCACAGTTTGATCGTGTCGCCTATTGCGTACACTGATGATAACCCCATACCAACACAAATCATGCCCGAGTTTATGCGTAAGGGACGCAAAGGGGGGTTTCCAGAGAGAGCAGAACTTTATGACATGAATTTCATTTTTTATTTTTTTATTTTTTCCATCGAATAGTTCTTTTTTCTTCAACTGAAAGCATAAACGAAAATGCACAAAAAATATGTACCACAGTATTTATGAATTCTTGCAACTGGACAGTGTTGTACGTACATTCTGTTTTCAGTGGACTTCAATGTTCTTTTGCCACCCGGATGTGGTTCAGGCTGCCTAATCAAACCAACTTGTCAAAATCGGATGGCTTTGTAGGCCATGATTGTTGCCAACACCCGGTTGTAAATCGCAGTAAGTGATTTGTGCGAACCAAGCGAGTTTGGTTCCTCACAACGCTGAACATGAAGGCCGACATATAATCTCTCGAGGTTATTCAAATCATACGATCAATGGGAGCGAAAATTTTTCGAATGACTTACCGTGAAACATTACACCGATTGCAGTAATATTCTTGGACATGAACAACTGTCTGCTTTGAGCATAGCCATTAGAATCCAGACAATTACACTTCCTTCGAAACTTTGAATTCAAGTCCTCTCTCCGGGATCATTGCTTAGGTGAGCTAGTATTAGACATTCGTTCACGAATTCACGATCGAATTTGTTTTCGTTGATGGAAACTACTGTGTCTACTTTTTTATACGAATCTGGCAATCGTTAACATGGACGAACTTAGCGGCCGTGAGTGACTCCACTGTGTGCTTCCAAAAGCGGCTCACAACTTATTTGTCTCTGGTAGAAGTCAGCATCAGGCATGAGGACTATTGGGTTTTGCGATTTATTCTTTCCAGTATTTTAACTAAAAGCTGTGCAATTTATGTTGAATGTCTGTTAGTTCCACCGGGAACCTGGAGAGAAACTGTGCTCCAAGAAGTCTACTACATTCAACATTCAATGGCCAATGAAGTCAATGAAATCAGTTTCTAGCAAGAAAGACATATTTTCTGAGGAGATTCGAAGATTTTTCATTGGAAACTGAAATACACAAGAACCTTTCACTATCAATTTACATGCGCGCAATCAACAAATTAATCAGCATCTGTATAATCCGAAATTGATCATATTCATTTATCAATGCTTTTTTCTCTCTGTGTCTTCGCATTTCTGCCAAAAGATGTGCTACCGGATGGCAAGGGGCCTACTGTGACGAGTGCATCAAATATCCCGGGTGTAAACATGGAACCTGTCACGATGCGCCATTCACCTGTCGTTGCTTACTGAACTGGGGTGGTCCACTTTGCGATCAAGGTAATGACCCTTCATCAACAACTTTCCCCTTTCCCAATTCTCTACGAGTAAACCAAAGGGCATCTTGGTGGTATCGACAACCTTAAAGCTCCGATAACAAAAATGATTTTTCAGATTTCTAACCGCAAAATGAACCAAAATTCATAGGAGTATCGATGAACATCACCGCTATCTTCAAATAGGATAGACGCCAATACTATAAAAATGAACGGGAAAGTAGGATACGATTCTAAATATAACAAGAAACATGAGGATGGGCTTATATTTGTTGTACACATCATATAATAAACAATATCATCACGTATTTTTTATGAGCCATTCCTTGATAAGGTGACAAAAATTCACGGTATTATGGTCCAATAACCATGTCACCTGTTGCGGTTATCGGCAGTTTACCTTAGAGTTTCTAATCATCGAAATTCACTCTGGTCTCGGCATTCGGGATGTACTCATCGAGGCCAACACTCCTATCAAATTCTTCGTATATTTACGCCAAGTCATGCATTGAGCATCACGACGTTTCTTCCAGTCCGGAAAGTCCGGGGTCATTACTGAAAGCATGGGCATTGTTGACTGATACGGATTACACACTGATAGAAGATTACATATTTGTGTTATTTCGGTGAAAATGGGCTCTTCCACAAATCTACTTCTTTGGTTCTTCCTCTTGGCAAAATTTTACCCACGTTCCGCAGATGTAGATGCATAAAAATCTAAGTTCATTCGGATCTCCGAAACATTTCCAGGCACGGTGAACTTGAATGTTGTTCGGTCGTTTAGATTACAATAGACACCTGATTTGTGCAAATAATGTGTCCTCCTTTGTCTTATATAAATTCTCTTATCTGTTGCTGTTACTCCGCAATCACACTTTTTCCACAGATCTCGATTATTGTGGTCGTCACAGACCGTGCCAAAACGGTGGAATATGCAAAAACACGAATTCCACAGAAAAACCGTTTGCGTGCAGCTGTACGAGGGAATATACCGGTGATTACTGTGAAAAAAGTAAGGCATTGGAGATTTTGATTTGTTTTTTTCGCCTGAAAACTGGCCTCTTTGTCAAATTACGTTTAAAATATCGGCCTCTAATTGCTCATTGAACTAAGATCCGAAGAAGACAAAAGTCACGAAATGTGAACTTTCCGATGATTCTGCTAATTGCAGTTGTAGCTACTCTCACTCAAATAGGAATTCAAGAGCCACTGCCAAATGTACCATTAGGTCTGAAGTGGATGAATTTGTGCAATGCTTTTTACCACTGTTGAGTGATCGGCTCACTCCAATTTGGGAATCACTGCTGTGCGTTTTTATCAGCAATAATCAAACGACAGGCTTAATGGTGATGTAGTGACCTTATAATTTGTAATTTATTTTTCATTCTAACCCCAGGAGTTTGTAATCGATGCATGATGACGGGAATTCAGCTCGTGAATTTCGGGCTAGCTAGGTATCGTAACTCATCAAAAACAGAGTTTTGTTTTACTATTACCCATTAACTTAGATATGGATTGCGTTAAAGATATAAAACACAGATGGATGGCTAAACAGATATATATAGGCTATGTATTGCATTCTCACCTCTATTTATGATGCATATTTTCCAACATCAGTTTTGACACTAAACACGGGAATTCGTCTTATTCATCCGTTACTTGACAGAATTGGCCCCATGCACATGGAATCCGTGCCACCGGGGACGTTGCGTGACTCGAGGTCCAGACAATTACAAATGCAAATGTGACCCCGGTTGGAGAGGTGACCACTGTGAAGAAAGTAAGTTTGCTATGCTATGTATAAGCGGATTTTTCATTTTTTGCTTTCTACTACTTCAATGCAACTTACGTTATTTCCCCAAATATCTTAATCCGAGCTTACAACAGTTCCCATCCGCCGACTTGTGGAAACAGACACTACTAGGATTGATGAACCCCGCTAGGGTTTATTGCTCCTATGTGCACTAATTAGGTGAGAAAGAAAAACAAAAAAACTTCGAGCCAAATACAGGCATACGTGTGGTTTTTTACTCTCACATCCCTTTCCTCCTTAATCTCTTCTTGTCAGATATGGACGCAACAGTATACGGCGAGTAATCCGATTATAATCTTCCAACTGACCTTGAAATATTCCCTCATGTAAAAAGTCTGACCATACCGGGAAGAATGTCTGGTGATTCACGAAGATTACACGAGAACCAACTACGATGCGGCCGGTGAGGTTGAAGCTTATTTCACAAGGGTCGGGTAGGCATAATTCTGGGTATGTGCAAATGAGTGAGTGAGTGAGTGGGTGAGTGAAAGAGTGAACGACTGAGTGCTCACTTAATGCCACGGTGCGGTTGTATGGGACGAATTGTATACAAAATTTTTATCTGAGGATTAACGCAAACCGCATTAATTAAAGGACGGGAAGAATGTTCGGACTACAGTTGAGGTCACCTGACATTTTCTCCACTCATTACTCACATGCACAAACAAAGGCAGATGAGCGCTTGTATGAAAAAAACTCATCAGAAACGCTTGAAAAAGATTCCAGGCTCAAGCTATTTCATGTTCCTTTCATTCGGTTGCTGGTTCAGATGCCTTCGATACATCGTTCATTATACTGATTTGCACGAACCAGATGTTTTCTTATTGCTCTCTAATATGTGATACAAGCGGTGATGCCATATACATGATAATCTTTTGAGTAGTAAATTTGATATGTAGAGTAGTAAGCTATATGATTTTCTAACAGAAAAACATCTCGGCAGTCTACCGGGTGGAGGCAAAGCTTCTGACCAGAAATGAGTTACTTACTGTGAAGTTCGGCTCCCTAATCAAATTGACCGATAGGAAACTTTATTGATCTGAAATGAGTGTCCTTAGGATTTCACCTTCACGCACATTCCTCATTTCATCGATTCAACCATACCCTCGGAAGCACTACACTCGAGTTTCGCTCTTATTAGAGCCCCTCAGTAGTGCATCTCTACCGTCCCGTTCGGGCTTTGAACACCGAACCCATTGCATGGAAGGCATGTGTTACCACTGTGCCAACCAGCTCACACCATGGCTGAACCAAATTGCTAATTCATGTTTGTTCAAGTGACTTCTTCAGTGATAGTCACTTCAGTTGACCCGACAGCAATGAACAAGTTGATACAGTGGTAACGCACACATCTTCCGTGCGATGGACCCAGAGTTCAACTCCTGAACGGTGGATATGCAATACTGATGAGCTCTAATAAGAGCGAAACTGGAGTCTAGCACTGTCGAGGGGATGGTTGAATCAATGAACTGAGGATTGTGCGAGAAGGTGAAGTCAGTTCAGATCAATTAATATCAATTATCCCACAATACTACTCACAAGTAACTGTAAGTTAAATACGAACAATAGAATAGTGATAAAATTAGGACTGTTCGATCATCGACAAAATTTCGTCAATTCATACAGTCTTACTCACCGGGGTAGTTCAAATGGATCGATATACGAATTATTACAACTTGATTACACAACAAAATTGTCAGATAGCTACAAAAGCATTGATAGTATACACAATCGAAAGGTCGGTTAACTAGCTTGAACACCTGCCCAGAGGAATCAACGTCCTGTAGTTACAAGAAGCGATGAAATCAAATGATGAGGCAAATCCTTTTTGTTTTACAAGGCCTTTGAACAAAAACGCTCATGGTGTCATCCACATGCTCGAAGTTCGTAATTTTATTTGCCCTTATCTTTGCATAGAATGATTCTGCTTTGTCATATCTCACGGGCACATTTTTTTAGCTGAGAAGCTGATGTCCATTTTATTTGAATTTCATTACTCTCTTCGTATTCACAGTTTTGATGTGAAAAGCTGAAAATTCGTCTACCCAGATGCATCAAACCAGTACTTGGTTTGATACTAGAATGATGAATCGTATTGTTTAACAGAAATATCCTACGATCCACTCGTTTGCTTATCGTGCATTTCAACTCTCGACTGTGGTCCCTTTGGAATACTGAATTTAACATCTTCGCGCCATTTGTCATTCATTCCAGACATTGACTATTGTCTTCAGAATTCTTGTCTGAACGGTGGGATTTGTCAAGATTTAGACGGTGTCGGATTTCGATGTATTTGTCCACCCGGATTCAAAGGAGCAAATTGTCAACTCCGTTCTCCCTGTTCCAATTCACGATGTGTTCACGCCAGGGATTGTAAACAGCTGTTGGAACCGGTGAACGGATTGGACTATGAGTGTATCTGTCAGCCCGGATGGACTGGCCAACTGTGTGATGAGAGTAAGTGCGAACAGCTTTTCTACTGTGAACAGAATTTTTTATTCATTTGGGTCATTGAACCCCTTGACCCCAGAACTGATGCATTTTTATACCCGCCCCTCCCCCGGGAGATTCAGCATACTCGTAATATCATTTGTGCACTATAATTTCAGGGAATCATCTACCATAAAATCTGTAGAAGTAATGTGCACAAATGTGTTTAATAACGGACTTTCAAATGAGAATCACAAACATTCCTGTTCCGGATTCTTTCCTGATGCGGTGTTCGTAATGACTTCAATAACGTATCAGCGACTGAGCTCGGAAGCGAAGAGATTCGGTATTTTCAATAGAGAATTTTATTTTGTTAGAAGATTTTCGTCGTGCGCAGGGCAAACGAAGCATGCCTGAACTAAAAAGCTAGGAATTAGTGTGCATTTTTTCGACCTGATTGGGTCTCATCTGCAGTGCAAATCTATCGACCGGACTGTGGATCGAATCCGAAACCTCACGAATAGAGCACAAACATACTAACACCGGGCAAATGATCGAGCCGGTTTCCACTTCACCTGTACGCGATATGGCTGATGGGACCCAATCGGATCTAAACATATGTATATCTCACATATTTTCGGTTCATGCTTTAATGGCTCTATACCCGATGAGATCCGGTATTATCCATGTTCCTGTTCCATTCTCTTCGCATTGTTAATTACTTTCATTCAATGTTTCAATGTGAATCGATTCATGGTGTGCTCGTTTATTGAGTACTGTCTTCTTGGCGAGCTTATATTTGTGATTCTGCCCTCCCCTAAAAAAAGAGCATAATTGTAACCCAAAACCTCTAAACTAAGAATGAGTGTGATGATTATCATGAGCGATCGACTCAACACCTGCCACATCTTAAGTGGGATATGAGAAACATTCCCCCTCAATGATTGCTTCATTCTTCTTCTTCAGATATAGACGACTGTGTGGACAAATGTCAGAATGGCGGTGTTTGTCACGTAAGTAAATTAATAATGACTTTCGGTCAGTTATTCCCTCATGACAATCGATCAGGTTTAAGTTGTACAAAAATTTTTCATACTTAATCACTATTACTAACAACTCCTGTGGTAAAATGACGTGAAGAGATATTGAAGAGATTTGCAGCATACTTGGTCAACTATGCCTCGTAAAACCGTAAGTTCATTGGAGGTGAATAGGGGGGAATACTAATGATGAATACATTATCGGTGGAGAAAGGACGACACAGTTCTCATCTACAGCCTGGTGTAATATCACCAGCAGTTGGTCGATGATCTGCATGATGCTCGGATACGAGCAAGAATGGACGCTCCTTTTGACAGCCTACTCACTCCATACACAGTGGTTTGGTTCGAAATGCTTCCGTCAGAGCCGCAAGCCCTGGGAATCACTCATAAGATGAATGAGACTGGGTTCTTGCACCAAACATGAATTGCATGTCAGCGTATGTATAGAAAAGGATGTCTAGCTTGTACCAGGCAGATAGAGGCTAAATATTCAAACCACTTGTAGTCCTCACACAGGGATATTTCACATTTTATCATTTTAGGATCTACTGAATGATTTCTACTGCACCTGTTCCGTTGGATTTGCTGGAAGACATTGCGAAATTAATCAGGAATGCGGGACAAAACCGTGCAAGAACAACGGAATTTGTCACGAGATCCCGGGAGGATATCGCTGTGAATGTCCGAACGGTTTTACCGGGCATAACTGTGAGGTAAGAAAATATTCATCCCAACAAAACTCATTTATCATTGCGATTGGTTAGAGGGTACAATTTGAATGTGCACTAATTATTTTTGGTGGAGACAGGTTTTCATGATAATCTGTTGATAACTTGTAGGAAATTACCTTTCAATCACTCCCACTTCGAATAAACTCTACAGACGTTGATCAAACTCGTGCAACATCACTCTCATTTTGGAAATACCTTTCAGTCTCAAATATGATACTTGTATGTTAATGGCTATGGCTGAAGTGCATTTATTCTTGACTCTATCTCCCATAGTTCATAGTTCTCTTCTACCACCGTTCGAATTTGCGTGACCTTGAGTGTTGCGACAAAATTTGAAGTAGTTCGAAAGTTACAGCTGAAATTTCGAAAATATTTCAATTGAGCAGCATGGGAATTCATTCTTTTTAATAAACGATTCCTGTTCCATGAGAGTGTTTATTAAGTTGAACACACGTATTCTAAATTGCTTATCTGTGTTCATTAAGTGCACAGTAAATAACCAAACTAATGAAAATATTCTTGCTTGAATAAATTGATAAATTATTTGGCTACAAACTACTCGCGTATTATCCTTGATACTGAACGAACTGAGAACATAGTTGATCTTCAAAAGTTTACCTTGAGGTGGGTGTCGCCCGTCCATTTGGCAATGGGTCTATCTCGCTGGTGGCCAACGAGTAATTCAGCAGGCAATGAAGCTGATTTACTGAGCTAGTTTTCTGAGGAATTTCGTTTTACCTGTCAAAGGAAGTAAATATTCATCCCGCCTGACGAGTTAGGATGGAAGAATATACTGAGTGCCTTGTTATTGGCCTCCTAAACACACCAAGCTGGATATCGCAAAATGTTTCGCACTGATAAGGGAGTTTTTCGTTGACTGTTACCCTTTAAATGCATTCGCGGAAGTCGTATTTTTCACAGATGAAGGTTGGTTTATCTTCTCGCTTGGGGTTGGTAGTAGAAAACGGTTAGACCTAATTAAATACTATTTTTTACATTTATGCAGTCTCTGGAGGGTTCAGGTTCAATGTAAAATTTATTCAAATACCGCACAGCAGCTGGGATTTTAATTTAATCGAAAAATTTTTACTTCATCAAAAATGGGGATAGGTCAGCTGTCTCGACATTGATCGTCAATGGTTAGGTTGCGGGGTGTATTTGAGAAACCTGGAAAATTCTGTTTGGCAGTCAAGTTGGTGGACTCCATGCTAAAGCAACTGCCTCCAGTGCTCAAAAATGAAGAAGGACAAATGGAACATGGACGAGATGAAAGTACAATACCTATACAAAGTCTATGGTCCTTTTGATAAATAAGCTCTAGTTACGTTTTCTACCATGACTTTGTCATTTTTCAACTGATGCATCATCAACCATTGTCAAAATCGCGAAATCGTACATTTTAATGGCATTTTTTATTACACACTTTCGTGTGATGAACAGCAGACGGGGTGGAACCCCATAATCACGAGGACCTGCTGTTCAGTGATGAAAACCGGTAACCTAAGCCCAGGGACTTGGAGTGGTAAACCACATAAGGCCCCGATACCCGGTGTGGTATTGAACCGGAGGACAGCAGAGCTGCCTACCACCAAAGTCGGGTGGCAGTGGCGGGGCTTGAACCTCGGACCATGGGGTCTAAAGCATGCTGCTGACAGCGGTTAGTAGAAGCAAGGACATAAGTGGTTATTATATCACATATGTTGCGTTTGATATGAGGCAATATCCTGTATTCAATCCCATGAATGAAGCTGGAAACACGAAGCACCGGGAGGAACAAATGTGATGAAAGTCAGGATGTTTCACGAGTTTGGTCAATGCCTGTATACCTCCCTCACGGTGCAAAAGGGAAGAGAATTACATCAATCGATTATATAAAAATCTTTAGAGGCAAACTAAGACTGAAGTGGATTGACTTATTCGGTGGGCATACCGGTGAATTTAACTAAAGAAACTCGGGTTGCGTCGCTTTAGGTGGTACCGTCCAATTGATACCTCCTTTTACCTTTTAAATGTCTGCTTGTTTCAACCACTAAGGTCGTGCAAAGCATATAGACTAAAGTCAGGAAATTTAGCACTCATGCTAGACGTTTGCTAAAAGCGTTCTCAGTATTAAAAGCCTGAAGAGTTTGGTGATAGTCGGCCTCGGTTTTAGAGCTGAAAGTGTTGTCTGCAGACGGTACTCAGCCGGATTTGGCAACATCATCAGTGCGACTAATATCCGCACCCCGAGCTACAGTGATTCAACATTCAACTCGGACCTGCTTTCAATAAAGGTAATCAGTTCAGAGATAAATCAGCCCATTAAAATCCGATTTCAGTGCACCAAGCGGCAGACAGTGAATCACTGACCAAGAGGAACGAAACTGTAGTAAAACGGACCACTAAAGGGCAGATAACGAGTGACTAAAATCAAACAGGAATTCGCTTGGCATCTGTTGCCGCATGTTGTTGGTTGATCTATTTGGTTGCCCTCAATCAATTGTAAGAGAATAATTATCACGTACTGCGAAAATCTTTCTCTGTCTGGCAGCATTACATGAATTCATTTAGTTCATGAAATTTCAGAATTGAAATTCATTTCTGGACTAGTTCAATTCGTTCTGCAAGATACATTTTGCATCACTCATCAAATAGTCAGTGAGAAATCAATTAAACTGTTGATGACAGTTATAATACAAATTTTAAAGTGCTTTTACCTATGAGGTGCATTTATAATAATGACAATCACATTATGATTCTTCAAGCATTATCTGTACAATGAAGCAGCCTCACGAGCATGTGTGTAGTTGCATATAGGGTTGATCGGATAGCTATTTACCGCTCCTCTTGTCACATGTACCGAGTTACGTCTCCGTTCATCACTGTGTTCGGATCATCAAGTACTTAAGTAACTATATGGATGCATTTGAAGAACGTCGACTACGACCGGCCGTGTCGCACTTCAGAACGGGACCCTGGCCTCGCAAACAAACAAGTTACCGCCCGTTAAACCAGACTTGTGGTTGTTGTAGACGTGTATTGAGGTACTGTGGCATAGTGAACCTACCGGTACCGGGTAACGAGTGTTTGCGTTAAAGCACGAAGACAAGAAAAACCGACGAGCTCGATAACGTGCAAAACGGATCGAAAGCAAAAAGTGAAAGTTCTCTGTTTGCGATCGTGTAAAACAAACGTCACATAGCGTTGGTACTGAAGTAATAATGTCAACATACATTTAAATTATGGGAGAAAAATGGTGTCCGGCAAATTTCTGCCATTGTCCGGCTTTCACCGTACAATCGGGCACACTAAACATTCATAAACTCGGGTTTTATCTTTGTATGATAGACATGTTCTGTTCTACCCGATGTGTCAAATTTGATTAAAAAATAGCGAAGGATGACTTTCCTAATAAAATGATATTTTGAGAGATTGCTTTTAGTGGTTATGGTTTTTGCGTCATGCAAACACAAATGACATTTATCACTTATATGTGATTCCAATGATACCCATGACTGACAAATAATTTTTATGGGAACCGTTTTAAATTTGATCGTGTTACCAATCACATCACAGTGGCTGCATTATTGATGAGTGCGGAAAACTGAAACATCACACAGAATTTGGATTGAAGTGATCCCATGATATCTTCTCCCCGGGTTGTCAGGTTGTCCTGAGCGGGTGCAATCCTAATCCATGTCAGAATGCCGCTTATTGTTACACATTGCCCCACGGATTCTACTGCAAGTGTTCACCCAATCATTACGGGCAATTCTGTGAACACGAACGTCCATATTGTGGTCCGGAAGGATGTACTGCTTACTTGGATCCCTGTTTTAGCGGGATGTCTGTCCCAGTGCTAGACAGCGGAATGAACGGATCAACGAGATCCGAGCTAACAGCGAGTGAAATGTACCTGCCGTACGGCGCATGTGGACCACACGGTACATGTGTCACAACCGATGAAGAACCGGCCGGTTACATGTGTGTCTGCAGTTACGGTTTCCGAGGGAAGCATTGCCAGGAGTTGGTCAACCATTGTGATGGGGATCCATGCATGCATTCTGGCACGTGTATTAATAGTGCTGAAGGTTACGAATGTATATGTGAAGAAGGTTTTGTTGGAGCGCAATGTCAAACAGGTGAGTGAATGCATCGGTTTGTTGTGGCATTAAATTCCATCCTTGATTCCAAGGAGTGTATATATCCGTATGAGTAGTCTTTCAGTCGGGTTTTCAATATTGTTAATCATCATTGTCTACTATTTACTCCAATATTCAAATGATAATAAAGGCATGTAACTCACACGATAACTAGTAATGGTGTTGTTTTCTTCTTTGGCCTTACTGTTTGGCTTCTGAAGGCCACCAGGATACGTAATGCAGCAAGTCGAATTGTGACTGCAATTTCTTACTTCAGAGTTTATCTGTATGTTGTGATTGCCGTCTGTGCAGTCTGATCTTGCATGATGGACAATTTGACATGCAACTAAGTAAGCTCGTTGAGATGAAATGAAGTGGCTGGATGATGTAGCAACCGAGCTCTGATTGTAGAAATCAGAACTTCAAAGAATAAAAAAGCTGAATTTTTCCCTTGAACATCAAACATGCTCTTTCAACACACACACACACACACACATAAGGCTGTTGATTTTTTAATGATATTTTGTCCATCATCCCTGACTCAGTTTGTTGTATTTGGTATCTCCGTGCATGCATGACCGTATAGTCAGCACTTTTCATTCTGACTCTGTTGGAACGCATAGGAAACTTAGACAAGCTTTTACTTTTCTATGTTGTGTTTTGAGGTCATGTAGAAAAAAAAGGCTACTCTTGGAGTGTAGGAGGCTGAGAATAAGTTCCTCCTTTGATTTCTTTAGAGAAGCTGTATTACAACATGTTTGGACGTCTTTATTGAGACAATGAAAGTCATCTTTCAAAATAGTCATGAAACAGTTGTTGGCGAAGTTGGAGATTATATGCGGAGCAGCCTATAGATGTCGTACATTTGACTGTTAAACATCAACACCTAAGAATGAGCCAATTTATTTTCTCTAAGTAGAAAATAAAAAGTAACCAGGTCAGGAAACTTTATGACACCAAGTAATCAATTTCCAAAGTCAAACGACACGAAACTACTTCATACTGCAAAGTTCTTGCTACAGAGACCAATTCGGACACAAATTAAATCATTGCAAGTTTTATGGTTCGTTGTGTAGGTGGAAACTTTTGTTTTCACGGATTTTACATACACCGTTCTGGAAATACACCCATTTTCTTGAGGGATTGGTAGAGGCAATCAGCGACTCAGTGCAAAGGTTAAATTATATATAAATATAATAATACTTTGTGCCGTAAGCTCTGTGGTATTTGCAGGTGATGCGAACGGAGAGAGTTATGTGCAATCATTTTCATTAATTTGTGAGTTTAACCCCCACCATCAAGACTCCCATTTCCCCGTTCTTTGTTTATTGACCTCCAATCGGTTGAGGCCATCACCTTCTTGCTGATTATGGTTTTGTTTGAAAAAAACAATATCTTGTTGGTATTATTATCAAAAACAACTCGTCCCCTCCCTCACTGTACCACATTGAGGGATAGCAGTATGAAGGTGATTTCTGAAAATCGATATCTCTACCAAGTAAAGTGGAGCGCTTTCAAAATAAGAGCTTTTGTTTTGAGGATACAGAAAAAAGAGATAACCTTTTGTCTCACACTACGTAAATCCGGAACCACTCATGCTGTGTTTTCCCTATCTGTTCCGCAGCGCTGGATTTGTGCCAACCGAATCCATGCCAAAACGGGGGCTATTGCCAGCATACGGAACATCCGGGTGATTTTCAGTGCCGTTGTGCTCCCGGTTGGTCCGGTCGATGGTGTCAGTTGCGAACGGACGATCCGTGCGCGGTGTCCAAAATCTGTCTGAACAATGGACTGTGTCATTCCGATTCACTTCAAGCCGGCGGATTTCGTTGTGACTGTGAACCCGCCTGGATGGGTTCCGTGTGTCATTTGCGTGAGTAAAATTTTTTTCGTAAATCAGAAATAAAAATGCCATGGCCTATTCTGCTAGAGTATTTTGCACAAAGCCTGTTCCTGTGCATGAACATAACTGAACCAAACAACCGAATAATAGGTAGTTTCCAAGATCCAATTCGAGAAAAAAGCACGTTTATTTTCGAATCGCGTAAACCGTTCGGGAAAGAATTTTTTCTCCCGACAAAAGGACGGTGCATGGGACCGAAATTGTAGCAGTGACAATTCAGTGTATACTGACTGTCTGATCACTGTTATGGCGTACAGTGATCAATGAGAAACTAGCTCAACGGAAACGAAAGAAATAAAAAGTAAACGACATAAGCAGATTGTTTTGTTTTCTTAAAAAGCCTGACAGTAAGTTAAAAGTTTTCAGTGTTACTTATAAACCATTTACGTGGAATTGTTGCCCACAAACCATTATTCATCAGTTTATTCCATAACAAGGTACACCCATGGAATTGCTCCGGTAAATTTACGTGATCCATGAACCCAAATAAAGGTTTTCATCAAGTCTTTCTGTCCGGAGTGTCTCGTATCAATTGGTAGCCATAAACTGTTCGGTGTAAGAAAGTGAAACATATTGTCAAGCAATCATTTTCGATTGTGATACAAGAGGAAACATTACTGTTTTGACTGCTTGTGATCTGAACATAAAAAGATTATGCAATCTTATTACGGAATCCAGACGATCAACGCTATTCGGTGAACATTTATTGGTTTAGACATAAAATTGAAACCAGTAAATATTGTAGACAGGATGTCACAACAACAACAGCGACCCGCTCCGAAAAGCTATTCTGTTTGTGAATAATTCTGACCAAGTACGAATGCTGGCTTAGCTTTTTATTTCTGCACGACAGAAAC